ATCTTTCGGCCGATACGGTATATATGTGTTTGTATTAATTAAACAGAGAGAACGATAGGCAGAGGAATAAAACTAAGTCCCATTTCAATTGTGACGGTGTCAGAGTTTATAAATGGCTGGCAGGTTGGTGACAGCAAGTATAGAGCCCGATTTTAGAGTAAATACGACATCGGTGAAGAGTGACACAGAGAAGCACAAAGGTTACAGTTCAAATAGCGGCAAGGGAAAAAAGACGGATAGGGAATAAACCAATGAATATAAATGATTTAGTCTTCTACATAAAGAGTGTAACTGCCATTAAAATACAATATAGGCGAGGAAAAGAATAAAAGATTGCATATATATCAAATGCGGATAGAGTGAAAGGGATAAAGTGGCCGATATATGTATATATATATATATATATATATATATATATATATATATATATATAAAGATGGGGATAGAGATAGATAGAGTGATAGATAGAAAGACAAACAGAGAGAGAGAGAGAGTGAAAGATAGAGAGAAAGAAACACACACACATATATATAGGGTGCAATACGTAAATTGTCGCCAGATTATATTTTAATTTCGCGAATGCGCATTAGATGTTTTTGATTTTGTCGATTGTCCATTATAGTATGGAAGTTGGACACCGTTTGTGAGAATATGAGCATCATGACGCAATTCACTCCGCTAGAAATTTGGAGACGGCATGCTGTACTGTTTGGCATTCGCACCGGAAGCTCCAATACAATCAATTGAGAATCTTTGGTTGTCAATCCGAGGGCAGTCCAGAGGATTCGAAAAGAATTGGATGCGTCTAATGGTGATTACGAAGCTACAGCATCTCGGAAAATCCATTCTGATCGTTGTGATTAGAAAGAACTCCCGAATTTCTTGGTGAGTTCCCCAGACACAACACTGTGACCTACATCAAGTGCCCTAAGGAGGTAGTGCTTCAAGAGAGTGTCTGCTGGAAGACCACATGTATGGCAACAGGAGTTTGCACCATGCCACAAAAGCAGGAGAACTCAGTCATGGCTGTCAGCAAAATTTCAGTGACCATATCAGCCCTTAATCAGGTTACCTAACTCCCCTGACTACATATCACTTGTTTATTATTTGTCGGGCAAAGTTGAGCGAGAGACGACCAAAGCTCTTTATAAGATCAAAAATGAACTGAACGTAAGGATTATGGCAACATTCACCAACCAAAACATCGTCTAGAAAAGTTGCAGGAGATTCCGAGGTTGTCTGAATGCCGTGGCTAATGGCGATTTTATTGAATAAATTTACTCTTTACTTGTGCAATTTTGGTAAATATATCTGTTAAAATGAAATAGTGTTATTTAAATTTTTGTTTAATTTAGATGACAATTTAATTTATCCATCGCACACTATATATATATATATATATATATATATATATATATATATATATATATATATATATATATATATAAATTTTATACAGTAAAAAATCCTAAATTCCCTAATGCGGGTATATCATATAATTTCAGACAAGCTCTGCAATATGACAGTCTTCCTCAACCCTAGACTGACTGTCTCGGAATATAGGTTTTGAATTAAGATATACTGGGCTACTTAAGGGACGCCTCATTTTTATAAGGAGTTTGGGTTGGTGTCAAGGAAATGGACCAGAATGGTCAAAGATTTTAGTTGTATGTATTTAGGTTTCAGCTAGTAGATTATATTATTATTAAGTGGCAGGATATTTAGCACACATACATACACAAATACGCATATATACCATCCATTATATATATATATATATATATATATATATATATATATATATATATATATATATATTTCATTATATATTATATATGCTATATATATATATATATATATATATATATATATATATATATATATATAATGGACTCTACCGTCGGTTTCGACGTATGAGGGTCTGACAGCTTATTGAATCAGTTATGGAATTTGGTGCGATAATCTTGTGGCATTTAAAACCCGCTGGTGATTTGCAAAGGAGGCCACATATGGAGCAAGTGTGAGGATTGTGAGATGAGATCACTGTTAGATTGGCTGACCCTTTAGATCTTGCTCTCGCTTCTTGAAGATGATTCAGACAAGCAGATTGAATATTGCTGAGTCCACTAAAACACGTGGATCTCCATTCTACCCGCCCCAAGAAGCGCTCAAGGGTGTTATGTGGTATACTGACTGCTGACAAGTTGTTTTTCAGCTTGTCTTTGTATCTTAGCGATGGGCGTTCTACATTCCTGTAGCCCTGATCTGTATATGGCTGTACATTAGGATCTTGGGTATCCTGTCATCAGACATTCTCAAGACATGACCAGTCCACCGTAAATGAAACTGTATGATAAAAGTCTCGATTCCTCCAATATTACATCTGTTAAACAGGTCTACGTTAGATGTCCTACCTTGAAGCTTAACTCCACAGATTTTTATTATTTAGAAACTTAATAATATGTAGCTTTTCATGTAGGCTACACACAATTAAGTTTCTAAATAATAAAAATCTATTAAACAATAGACATTAGTTAACGGTTTTTTGCCGACATCATCAGATTTTTGCATTGGATAATTAGCATAAAAACAAACAAAAATAAAATAATTTTTAAAATCCATAGTCCTAATAAATAGTTTAAATGCCCTACAAAATAAGATAACCCTTTATGAAGCCGTCAAAAAACAAATATTACGGCAGTTTTTATATACACAAAACCCTTTCAGAAAAAAATAAAATAAAAACAAATAAATCTCCATAGACACGTAAACCAGACTAGGCGAAATCATCTTCTGTTTTAAATTTAGACACCCCAAACTTACCCTGACTTGACATCTGTGAATGTAACTTTATACTGATACAAATTATTAACACCCTACACCCCTGTTTATATAAACAATCACTCTAGCCGTTACCATAGCAATTTCGATTTCAATAATGAATATGCTATTATAACACGTAAATTTCAGAAATAAGTTATTAAAAAAAAATTCGCTTGAAGATGGAACAGAGCTTACTTTAATTCAATTTGATTCAAATAGTTATATTGAAGTTTTCGGCTCTTGTTTTGAAAACATGAGAACTCTTATGCAGCGTGTTGGAATCATATTTTTAAATAAATAATTATATATATATATATATATATATATATATATATATATATATATATATATATATATATATGTGTGTGTGTATGTAAACATCGAAAGAAAGAAACGGAACAAATAGGAAACGTTTATAAATCTAACATGTTCAAACTTCATCAGAGAATGGGAAATGGGATATGGCGAACGAATAACTTTCCGGTATTTTTGTTTTGTGTTTTTGATACTCATTAGTTAAGCAAGCTTCACATCAATATATATATATATATATATATATATATATATATATATATATATATATATATGCGTATGTGTGTGTATGGGGTGTAACAGCAATACTTTAAAGATCGTGTAACAGTATAATTATCCATGCCACCTTATCTAATATTATCTAATTTAATATCTAAAAACACTAAACTAATTGAGTTTTTTTTTCAGGTTTTCAGATAAGATGTTTAGCCAACTTAACACCATTTTTCTTAAGAATCAATGAAAAACCTTTTGCGTCATTCAGCTAGAAAGAGAGTTGGCAAAAATAGATAGATAAATGGGCAGATAAAAAATAGATATATACAAAATTGATAGACAAATAGATAGAAAAATTGATTGACAGATAGACAAATGTGAACTGACTAGGATAGACAAGATAGATACATAGATATGAACTGAATTTGATAGAGGTACTGAATGAGATAGATAAATATGAATAGACTTAAACACACACACACACACACAAACATATATATATATATATATATATATATATATATATATATATATATATATATATATATATATATATATAGATAGATAGATAGATAGATAGATCTGAACTGACGTAGATAGACATGACCAGATGTAGATATATGGATAGATGTGAGCAGGAGATAGATACATAATCATTCTTTACTTACAATATAATGAAAAGACTAAACTAATTTCTTAAACTCTCTGTAAGTCATGTAATCGACAATAAAGTTTTACGACTTTACTTTCTTGTCACTTCCGCTATTGTCTTTGACGTCATGCGTCATTTTGGCCCGAGGTTAGCTTCCCAAATATCGTATATCGTTATTTACCGTTTATTATTTTATTAAAGTCTTCTTCTGATATGCGTTAATCTTGAAACTTTGTGAAAACAAATGAAGAACAATATTTGTTTGATATAAAATAAGACAAACTGAAGTAACAAAGTATTTTCATAGTTTTACGAGAGTTTTTGCAAAATATGCGAAAGTTCAAAAGAAATGATGCTTGCGGAAAAGTTCATCGAGGTATGATATAAATGTCTAAGCAGTCGTTATATTCCTTAATTGGTAGCCACAAAAATATGAAGATGGAAATAGAAAGAATTCTTAAGGACAAAAAGATTGTCTTGAATCTGACAATATGGAGCGCCAGTTTAAAATAACTCTCAGCAGAGGATATTTTGTATTTTACCTGTGGCTTAAGACAGGGCGCGAAAAGAGGTAACCGACAATTAATGGATTAGGAAGAGAGACATAATACTTAGGTAGAAAAGGGATAGATAGATAGATAGATAGATAGATAGATAGATACCTTGATATGAACAGTCTGAGAAGAGATAGATAGATAGATAGATAGATAGATAGATAGATAGATAGATAGATAGATAGATATGAACAGACTGGGAATAGATATCAACAGATTAGATAGATAGATAGATAGATAGATAGATAGATAGATAGATAGATAGATATGAACAGACTGGAAATAGATATCAACAGATTAGATAGATAGATAGATAGATAGATAGATAGATAGATAGATAGATAGATAGATAGATAGATATGAACAGACTGGGAATAGATATCAACAGATTAGATAGATAGATAGATAGATAGATAATAGATATCATACATAGATGAACTGAATCAGATAGATAGATAGATAGATAGATAGATAGATAGATAGATAGATAGATAGATAGATAGATAGATAGATATGAACAGACTGGGAATAGATATCAACAGATTAGATAGATAGATAGATAGATAGATAGATAGATAGATAGATAGATATGAACATAGATGAACTGAATCAGATAGATAGATAGATAGATAGATAGATAGATAGATAGATAGATAGATATGAACAGACTGGGAATAGATAGATATCAACAGATTAGATAGATAGATAGATAGATAGATAGATAGATATGAAGAGATTAAATAGACAGATTGATATGAACAGTCTGAGAATAGATAGGTAGATAGATAGATAGATAGATATGAACATACTTAGATGAACTGAATCAGACAGACAGACAGACAGACAGACAGATAGATAGATAGATAGATAGATAGATAGATAGATAGATAGATAGATAGATAATAAAAGATTAAATAGATAACTTTGAGCAGACTGAGATAGATATATAGATAGATACGAACAGACAGACAGATAGATAGATAGATACGAACAGACAGATGAACTGAATGAGATAGATACATAAATACATATATACATACCAACAGACTAGATAGATATGAACAGACAGACAGATAGATAGATAGATACGAACAGACAGATGAACTGAATGAGATAGATACATAAATACTATATACATACCAACAGACTGAGATAGATATGAACAGACAGACAGATAGATAGATAGATACGAACAGACAGATGAACTGAATGAGATAGATACATAAATACATATATACATAGAACAGACTGAGATAGATATGAACAGACAGACAGATAGATGAATAGATACGAACAGACAGATGAACTGAATGAGATAGATACATAAATACATATATACATACCAACAGACTGAGATAGATATGAACAGACAGACAGATAGATAGATAGATACGAACAGACAGATGAACTGAATGAGATAGATACATAAATACATATATACATACCAACAGACTGAGATAGATATGAACAGACAGACAGATAGATAGATAGATACGAACAGACAGATGAACTGAATGAGATAGATACATAAATACATATATACATACCAACAGACTGAGATAGATATGAACAGACAGACAGATAGATAGATAGATACGAACAGACAGATGAACTGAATGAGATAGATACATAAATACATATATACATAGACTGAGATAGATATGAACAGACAGACAGATAGATAGATAGATACAGACAGACAGATGAACTGAATGAGATAGATACATAAATACATATATACATACCAACAGACTGAGATAGATATGAACAGACAGACAGATAGATAGATAGATACGAACAGACAGATGAACTGAATGAGATAGATACATAAATACATATATACATACCAACAGACTGAGATAGATATGAACAGACAGACAGATAGATAGATAGATACGAACAGACAGATGAACTGAATAGATAGATACATAAATACATATATACATACCAACAGACTGAGATAGATAGACAGACAGATAGATAGATAGATACGAACAGACAGATGAACTGAATGATAGATACATAAATACATATATACATACCAACAGACTGAGATAGATATGAACAGACAGACAGATAGATAGATATAGATACGAACAGACAGATGAACTGAATGAGATAGATACATAAATACATATATAACTGAGATAGATATGAACAGACAGACAGATAGATAGATAGATACGAACAGACAGATGAACTGAATGAGATAGATAGATAGATAGATAGAACAGACAGACAGATAGATAGATAGATAGAACAGACAGATGAACTGAATGAGATAGATAGATATATACATACAACAGACTGAGATAGATATGAACAGACAGACAGATAGATAGATAGATAACAGACAGATGAACTGAATGATAGATACAGATACCAACAGACTGAGATAGATAGACAGACAGATAGATAGATAGATACGAACAGACAGATGAACTGAATGAGATAGATACATAAATACATATATACAGATAACAGACTGAGATAGATATGAACAGACAGACAGATAGATAGATAGATACGAACAGACAGATGAACTGAATGAGATAGATACATAAATACATATATACATACCAACAGACTGAGATAGATAGAACAGACAGATAGATAGATAGATAGATAATAGACAGATGAACTGAATGAGATAGATACAGACTGAGATAGATAGAACAGACAGACAGATAGATAGATAGATACAACAGATGAACTGAATAGATAGATACATAAATACATATATACATACCAACAGACTGAGATAGATATGAACAGACAGACAGATAGATAGATAGATGAACAGACAGATGAACTGAATGAGATAGATACATAAATACATATATACATACCAACAGACTGAGATAGATATGAACAGACAGACAGATAGATAGATAGATACGAACAGACAGATGAACTGAATGAGATAGATACATAAATACATATATACATACCAACAGACTGAGATAGATATGAACAGACAGACAGATAGATAGATAGATACGACAGACAGATGAACTGAATGAGATAGATACATAAATACATATATACATACCAACAGACTGAGATAGATATGAACAGACAGACAGATAGATAGATAGATACGAACAGACAGATGAACTGAATGAGATAGATACATAAATACATATATACATACCAACAGACTGAGATAGATATGAACAGACAGACAGATAGATAGATAGATACGAACAGACAGATGAACTGAATGAGATAGATACATAAATACATATATACATACCAACAGACTGAGATAGATATGAACAGACAGACAGATAGATAGATAGATGAACAGACAGATGAACTGAATGAGATAGATACATAAATACATATATACATACCAACAGACTGAGATAGATATGAACAGACAGACAGATAGATAGATAGATACGAACAGACTAAGGCAAAGAGATAGATAGAGGTAGATAGGCAGACAGTCAGTCAGATGCAACCGTGAGATGGTGAAAGATTTCAACACTGTCAAAATTTATTCCCAACAAGACACCGATATTTGGTCATTTAAGCAAATAATTTCTAATCCCCTCTGTTAACATAACAAATTTAGTCCGATGACGAAACGCGTCACAATTAATCTTTTCCACCTTTTCATACGATTTCCCCATATATATATATATATATATATATATATAGTCATTCTACTATGGCAACGCACTTGCTATTCAGCACAGCTTGTGCAGCAGATTTTGCCAAGAACAACATTCCCCACCTTCCCACAGATCTCTTGTTCCGCCAATAGAAACGGCGTTAGATACAGTTTGTAGCTTGTGACGTTGGCTACTTTGAAGGAGATTAAATGCCGGGTTTATATGTGTTATAGTTTTCTTTCTCTATCATTTAGTCACGATACTTTTTGATCAGACATTGTGTATTCAAATTTTTAACTTTTCACATATCTATCTATCAGTATATTTTTATTTATTTGTTTGATGACTGATACTTTGGGTCTTATATGACAAGCTTTGCTTACCGTAAATATTATACGGACATTGGCAAGGCGATTTGTTTTCAGAAATATGGCCATCTGGAGGGTGGAGTACAGCGATTCTGCTCGACGGAGCAAGATAGCCAACCGGAAACTCATTCGCTCTGCGCTGTTTATGCATAATTACGTTCAGTAAACAAATGCAACCGACCATTCGCTGGTAGTGGTTAGTTGCGAAAGAAAAGTAGAATAAATTAAAGAAACACATCGGGAAATGAAGGAGTCAACAGGAAAGAGAAAGAAAGAATTATAGAATGGGATATAGGGGTGTAGAAACAAAACCAAAACTTGGGAAAGAAAGAAAGAGAAATCACATAAAGTAAAATTCCATTTAAAAGAAAGAGAATGAAAGAAAAAGAATTAAAAATATTGAAGATGCAATACATGAACCAAAGAAAAATTATTCCAAGACAGAGGGAAATAGTGAAAATACCTGATTACATTCTGTTGTAGAGTAGTTTTTACAGTGGAGGCTTGTATTTCAATAAGTCGGTCCTAAAAAGGGTTCGACGTACAAAACGTAAGGAACTTGAAATAAGAGTTAATGACGCAGCTATCTAGTTGTGATGGTTGATACTTCAATGTCCGACATCGACTGACTCACTCAACTCCACTGAGCCCAACTGGCGACCGATACTACTACTACTACTACTACTTATCATGTGTTGGTGAGTCTATTAATAATAGAATAGGTACGTTCAGGTATGACACATTCAATGCCTCGAAAACTAAACTATTTACATTCTATCACCGTCGATCGAACCCCGAACTACTAACAGTCCGCATGAATCGATGTCCCTTCACGGAGGCACCAAGCCTTGAAAGAATACTGGGCCTCAAACTTAGAACTGACCTCAAGTAGAACTCGTACATAAGATCCGTTGCTAAAGGTGTAAATAAAATTGTTGGCTCCCCTTGACGCTTTAGTAAGTACATGACTCCTTATGCTGTCCTCTACCATTAGAAAAACCAGATCAAGCCAAAAATGGAATATTATTTCATATTTGACTAGAAGCTGCCCAGTCCTAATTTTGCTGTCTTGTTAGAGTTCAACAGTGTCTCTGAATCTGTGTTGATTGATTTTGTTTAGCGGTATATCAACACCTCTATTGGTTATTTAATACCGAAATCTAAATATTTTAAACAAAATGGCGTCAACTAAACATATTTTGAGCGCAATTGTATACCTTCAACTACAGATAAAATGTATTGTTGGTAATTCTGTTATAAATACGTATTGTTGGTAATTCTTTTTATAAAAGGTATTGCTGGTATTTTGTTAGTGTAAAAAGGTATTTTTACACTTACATGGGGTTTTGTTTTTGCCTGGGAGATTCAATATTTGCTCATAGCTAGGAACAACAGCAATTAAGAGTTGGTTCTACGCTCCTCAAAACCTCCAATCTCCCGATCAGAGGCCTTGCTGCCGGATGTAGATATCATCATACCCAGGACTATTCGAGTCTTTTTAGGTGACGGATTATATTCCACCTCCCAACGGCTCATCCAGGCGAACCAATCAATGATCTATAGCTACCGTCATATAGCATGACGTACTATACCAATTTAGCTACCGAGGAGCATCTGGTTAGCAAGGTTGATTTTAGCGAAATCATGGAAAATTGTAGTTTAAAAGCAGTAAAATCGACCTTACTAACAAGACGCTCCTCCGTAGCTAAATTCTTATGGCACGTCAGATTTTATGATGGTTCCGTGATGGATAAAGTTTCGACCCTGTCGGAGGACACATATTTTGTATGAAAATTTATCGAACATTCAGGCCGGTAATTGTCCTAAATACTATTTATTATAAACAGAGCATTTACTTAAATATTTGTAACTACAAAAATAACGTATAAACAGAAGATAACTTAATATACATATACATATACATATATATATATATATATATATATATATATATATATATATATATATATATATATATATAATGTTGTGATTTCGGGATAAAATCTGGTCTCAAAATGAATGACAAACGCAGGAATGAAATATAGCAATTAAATGTATTGACGTAATAATACAATTGGTAATACGGTTAGTAGATCCAGAAATGCGGTTAGTAGCAATAATAATATATATAAAGTCTGGGAAATTCAGTATCGAAGTATGACTTCCTTCTGATTCTACGTGCTCGCAACTGTGACTCCTATAAAGCGGTTACCTCACACTCTCATTTTCTCACTGTCTCACTTCCGGGTATTCACCGGCAGCAGAACAACTACACACCGGGCGAGTCCACTTGTATAAAAAGGGGTGTACCACTTAACATATATATATATATATATATATATATATATATAGATAGATAGATAGATAGATATAGAATGATCATCGTGGATCCCAAAACTCGTTAGAGTGGTATGGGCATCACATATACTTTAGCCGCAGTACAAGTGGTGTGTCTTCAGGCTGGTTTGAATTCAAAATTTTCCTTCTCGTAGACCGGGTATATATATATATATATATATATATATATATATATATATATATATATATATATAATGATAATGGCTCTTAAAATGAGGATATTGTTGGATGTCTTTAGGTTTTGGTAGATATATCTAATAATATGGTTATTTCTATTTCTGACTAGTATATCTAAGAATGGCAGTTCGTTTAAGTTATGTTCTTGGGTGAATTTAATCTTCGAGTGTAATTTTTGGAGTAATTTATATAATTCATTAATATTCAGCGGTCATAATTCGCAGGAGATAAAGCAATTTCTTAGAAGATTTAGTAAAGTAGGTTTTTATGTTTTCCCAATATTTTTCCTTTATCATTTCATAAAGGTTTTCATCTAGCTAATCTAATGTTGGTGCCATTTTCGTTCCCATCGCGATATGTAAGTTTTCGATAGAGTTTTTGCTATCAAATTCAAAACAGTTTAGGTCTAAACTATCGATAATGAATTCCTTGTTGAATCTGGGATGTAGTATTTCTGGGTGTTTTTCAATTCAGAATGAGATTACCTGTTACCCAAATTCATGGGGTATGTTGCTATGTGGGCTGTTAATGTCAAATGTTGCCATGAGTTTTCCTGGATTTACTTTCTGTGGCATGGAGCTAAGGAAGTGGATATTGTCTCTATTGTAGCCCTTAAGCTGTTTAATAAGTGCTTTTTTTATTTCTCAATGTAACTTTTGTTACTTAGTATCCCATATTGAGTCATTAATTTTTCTAACATTGTTCTGGTATATAAAATGTATATATCATTTTCTCTCTCTCACACATATATATGGTGTGAGAGAAAGAGAGAGAGAGAGAGAGAGAGAGAGAGAGAGAGAGGGTGGTTACTGGGGCTCACGTCTTACGCAGCCGGCACAGGATTCCGGGATTGGTCAACAAATCTTGGATAATCCAGAGTGTGCATATAAATACAGTGATTCGTGGTTTTCCAGTTTGGGCAAAGAATGGTTGGCTATGCATCTGTATATCTTAGAGACAGTATTTATTAAATTGCATCGAGCGTCTTTGTGCAGATTGAAGGAGAAATTCGTTCGTTTTCTTTCTCTACAGGGCAGTATTTGAGTTTAGATTTCCCTTTTAAAAATTACTTGAACAGTTCATTCCTCCCTGTTTTTCCTTCGTCTTAATATTCTTAATATGCAATTTTCTTTTAATTCCAGTTCCTTCTCTCCTTCCACTTTGACTATTTTCCGCGATTTTCGTTGTCTTATGCTATTTTATATTTGTCAGTTTTTCTTCGGTGTTGTCTTAAAAAAGGTAAGCTCTTAAAAGGAAAAATACGCAATATTATCTGTTTAATATATATATATATATATATATATATATATATATATATATATGAAGAAATATAGTCTTAAGCTGTGCAATATTTATGGGGTAAAGTGCTCAATATCAGAGATAGAGCGTGTGTAAATATAAAAGTGAACATAGAAGTCAACACTTAGAAGCGGTAGTCTGCTTCATGCTAGACGTGGCCTGACGATTGCATCTAGCATGAAACAGACTGTCGTCTCTAAGTGTTGATTTCTATGTTCACTTATATATATATATATATATATATAATTATTTATTTAAAAATATGATTCCAAATCGCGACATAAGAAGTCCCATGTTTCAAAACAAGAGCCGAAAACTTCAATATAATTATTTAAATTAAATTGAGTTAAAATAAACTCTGTTCCATCTTCAAGCGAATTTTTTTTTTTTGAATAACGTGTTTCTGAAATTTACGTGTTTTAAAATTGAAATCAAAATTTCCATGGTAACAGCTAGGGCGAATTGTTTAAGTTGGGTAGGCGGGTGTTGGGTGTTAATAATAAGTATCAGTATAGAGTTACTTTCATAGATGTCAAGTCAGGGAAAGGTAGGGGTATCTAAATTTGAAACGGAAGATGTATTAACCCTCGTTTAGTTTGCATGTCTATGGAGATTTATTTATTTTTTTATTTTATTTTTTATAAAAGGGATTTGTGCATATAAAAAAAACTGTCGTAACGTTTGTTTTTTGACGACTTCATAAAGGGTTATCTTTTTTTAGGGTATTTAAACTATTTATTTCGGTTATGGATTATGAAGGGTGTTATATTGTATGCATGTTTTATTTAATTATTCAAACCCTGAATCTGATGAGTGGGCTATGGATTAAACAAGTTATTATATTGTATGCTAGTTTTTAGCTAATAGTTCAAACCAAAAATCTGATGATGCCTACAAAAAACCGTTAATTCGCGTCTATTGTTTAATAGATTATTATTATTTAGAAGCTTAATTATGTGCAATTTCTCATGGAGGCATAAAGGGCATGGGTCATCCCAAGTTTTACATGTTCTAGCCTTGTTAATAATTTTCCATTTAACTTTAGTTGTCCTATTTAACTATAAACACATAAACACAGAAATATATGTATATATATATATATATATATATATATATATATATATATATATATATATAGAGAGAGAGAGAGAGAGAGAGAGACAGAGACAGAGACAGATGAGACAGAGTGAGACATAGAGAGAGAGACAGAGTTTGCAATTCAAATGCTTCTTTATGCCTGAATGATTAACAGGATGTCAGATCAAATATATATATATATATATATATATATATGG